AACAAAAAAGTATTTGAGCAGCTGAAGATTTGAAGTAGGAAAATGATCATTTTTTTTCAAAGTGATTGAACATGGAAAATAAGCTGAATATGCAAAGCCGAATTTACAGATTCGAAACGAATTATTTAACTGATTATCATGCTCAGTTCATTGCTTTTACTGATATAGTTATGGAACCTTGCTAATGGAGATAATGATATGGTTACTACTGCTTTAGGTCATGGAACGAAAGGTGTGGACAGAGATGGAGAATAAAATTTTGCATATAGATCTACAGCATCTTTCAAGAATTGCCAAGATCATAATGTGGCAACTTGCCTAGTTGGGGAGTATCTAGTTGGGGATGGCGGGGATGTTTTTTTTAAATCATTTCTCGCTGTAGCTAATAAAACTAATAACACTGAATGCTTGTACACTGAACCAAAGAGGCGATTCTGTTTTATTTCTCTTTTATTCGAAAAGAGAATCTATCTCTGAATAGTCGCAGTTAAAATTATAGTTTGACATAGAAATTATAGTATTAAATTTTTATAATAAATTCTAACCCGAAAGTGGCATTTTTCAGTGGGTTTTTCAATTTTAAACAGTATAGCAATACAATATCACAGCATATCTTAAAGCAAATAAATAGCAATGCGATTCAATTTTATGATAAAATTAAGTGATTAACTCAAATGCCTGATAAATATCAAATGATAATGATGAGTGTATATGCGCCATTGAAAAGTTTCTTCTTCATAAACGGAAATATTCATAAGGACAAATAAGAAAATAAAAAGAGCAAAAGAAATGAAAGACAGGTTGGACAAATAAAATTAAAGGTTCGTTTTAATTGAACAGTTCACATCCGGAAAAACAATTCTGCCGGAAAAGAGTATAGGAAATATGAACGCATTTGTTTAAATAATATATTACTTGATCCGTTTAATTTGAAGTGAGTTCGTGTTTGAATCGCAAAGAATTTCATTTGATTGCAAAAATCTCCTGGATTTTCTCCTAGAATTGAATTGAAATCTTGAATTCTCCTAGAATTCAATTCTATTCTCGCGTCATTATTTTTTTAAAACGAATTTGAATGAAATCAAAAAAAAGCTGATAATATTGCGAATTACTTGCATCTATATACTCGAGTGACTGCGCCAGCTAACGGAGAAATTATTTTAACGGACTATGAAGAAATACTTTAAAGATACAAAGAGGTCGAAATCCACTGAACACCTGCAGTACTTCATTAATATTATTATATTATTCATTATTATTATTATTTTCTGCATACAAGTTTTTATTAAAGTTAAAAAATTAAAAATTTCAAGTGGTATATTTCAGTTTTATGCCACCATTTCATTCACATTTTCTCAAATTTTTGCAGAAATTTATCGACAACTTCATCAATTAAAGAGTGAATTATTCGTTCCTCGATTGTAGACCGAAATTTCCGCGATTCTACTGCATGATATAATTATTAAAATGATTTTAATGCAACAAATACAATAAAAGAAATCTTAAATTCTGATTAATTTTAATCATTATCATATATTTTTTCATTCCACTTTATCTGTATTATTGACAATATAAATCAATTGAATATTTTAGAATCAACAAAAAACAGAGGAGAAAAAAAGGGAAAAAAGGATTATTTTTCCATAAAAAAGGCATTTTTCCGGAAACATTTCCGGAAATATTTCTATTAAAATCGAGTATAAGAAATATGAATATATTTGCTTATTTAATATGAACTTGATTCGTTGAACTAAAATACGTTCATGTTGATTAGCAACGAATCTTTTTTGATTATAAATTTGTTTTCTTTATAATATCTCAAAGAAAGAATAATAAAGAAGCAAATAACTGATTTTTGAGATATAGCTGATTTTTGAGATACAGCTGATTTTTGAGATACAGCTGAATTGGTGGTGTATTCCTCTAAGACTCGATTCTATTCTCGTGGCACGAGTTCGGTATCATGAAAATTCAAAAATAATTGTAATAAGATTTTGGATTGAATGACCACTAAGCTTTTAAGTTAACAAAAATTTGAGAAGTCTATGTGAAATTGTATCTGAACTAGAAAATTTATCATTTTTGCTTATACTTTTTTGGCAAAAATTTCAAATAATTCGCGATTTTACTGGTTATGCTTTTTGACAAAATTTTCTTTAAAATCTTGAGATATGGAAGTTTTCTTTTTTTTTTGCCAGTTTCTTTTTTCCTTCTATACTTGTCAAATGAAAGAGATTTTCCCCCTTTTCCTCATAATCTACGAAATTTCTACCAACTTTTTTGTCGTCCTCACAGCTTGATTCGTTACACCTTCCTCTTGCCTTCTTTCCTTCGCCTTCCTTCCTCTTTCTTGTTGTTTTTAGTTTTTTTTTCACTTTTTAAATTTCTTCTTTATCCACTTCCACATCTTATAAGATCCATTTACTGCTAATAGTTATTTTAGCTTTTTTGAATTTGGTATATTCCTCTAAGACTCTATTTTTGAAGTCGACCATCGTCATCATCGCATTCATCTCTGAGCAATCATCGAATAGCAATAATTAACAATGAGCACCATTCTACCATAAAAGCGGTTTCAAGGTAACCGAAAGTGTTTAGCTTAATGTAAGTATAAATGCCAAAACTATTTCCTCTGAAGTTATTTTACCATTGAGAAAATTTTAATTCATTTTTAACACAAATTCATTAAAACTATAATTTTTATACAATCATACTAATTAGGCACAATAACCGCAAGTTTTCGCGCACTGTTGCATCATTGTCGTTCGAAATACACCGCCACAGCTATTTGCGGCTCGAACTGCAGCACAGTTCAGTCTTTCGTCTCTACAAACTGACGTTAAAGGCGATATACTCGTCGCTGAAATCCATGAAAAATTTAATTTTTCATTTCCAGTGGAATTTCCAATTTTGCATTTCTATTTTTAGAATGTTTTTAAAACAATTCCTTTTCAGAATCAGAAATTACTTGTTAGGCAGTCGCGCGACCCGCAAGTTCTTTGGCACATATTTTTCAATCTGTTGTCAAAACAAATGCCCAATCCTACCAAAACATCACAGCCATCGATAGTATCGGGACACATGCAGCACCAGGTAAATGACAAAGTCCACAAGTCTGTGGACAAAGTCGTAATGCAAGGCTTGGGAATTGACTGCACATTGCCCTTGAAAAATTTTTGCATGCACCATCTCGGCCTCCAACTAAAATAGAATTTTAGTTTTAACAGCTTTCAAAAATTAACTAATTTGCGAAATGCGAGAAAGTGCAAAGGCAAACGTTATTAAATTCAAATATTCTATTTTGTCTGCATGAGGAATGGTCAATATCTTCTAAGTAGGATAGTAATCAGCAAAAGTACCAGATGCATGTGAATTTCCTCAATACTGAAACAAATTTTAAGGAACATGGATCAAAATAACATTCGGCACACCTCTTTTCCCCCTTTATTTATGGATTCCATGAAAAGCTTTAATAAGAGCTCCAATACGATATGGTTCAGTGTTAAATATTAACAACCTTTTCAAAAATATTTCTTTGTGCGAAAACTTTCGAAACATTTCGAAAAAATTTATTATCATTAATGAACATTATTGAACAACAATTTAAAAACTAATTTAATTCACATTATCATTGATAACTTTACTAATCACGCACAATAACCGCACGTTCTTGCGCATTGTTGCATCATTGTTGTTCGAAACACACCGCCACAGTTATTTGTGGCTCTAAACGCGTCACAGTTCTGCCTTTCGTCTCTACAAATTGCTGTTGGA